GCTGAGCAGATCCCTCACGGGGCTCCCAAACTCCGAGAAGCTGGACCAGGATGTTCTCCGAGAAGCGCGAGTACAGCATCTGACTGATAAGGAAGATGTTGGAGCACAGAGCGGACTGGAGCATGATGGGCATGTTGGAGGTGTAGAAGAGGCGGACGGGGTATGAGCCGCGCATGCCACGCTGGCGGGAAGACTTGACGGGGATCTCAACACGGAAACCCTGCAGGTAGATGACAGCGGCGAAGACGAGGAGAGTAGCCAGGAGGTTCATGACGTTGGGCAGGTTCTGGCGGTAGAACGCCTCGTACAGGGCGCGCTGCTTATCGGGCCAGGTCAGAAGAAGGTGGAACAGAGCAATAATAGCACCCTCGAACTCGGGGCCACGGCCGGTATTGATGGTCGTGGGGGAGAAGGCCTTCCAGACAATCGACTCGCAAATGTTGGTGGCAATGAACAGGGAGATACCGCTGCCCAGACCGTAGCCCTTCTGGAGAAGCTCGTCAAGCAGAATAACAACAAGACCAGCGACAACCAGCTGGACAATCAGGAGAACACAGATACCGGCACCGAGATCACTGGGCTGGCCGTATAGACCAGTCAGAACGTAAACACAGGCCTGGCCGAAGGAGAGAATGATAGCGAAGAGCTTCTGGGCGGTCTGGTAGAGCTCGCGGTCGGTCTTCAAGTCGAGGTTGACATCAATGAGGTGCGTACCGGCAAGGAGCTGGGGCACAAAATATGTCAGTACAATCACCGCGAAGAATAACATATGAGTTTTTTGGAATCGCATACCTGGAAGACCATGCCGGAGGAGATAATAGGGGTGATACCCAGCTCCATCAGAGTACCCCGGTTACTGGCCAGCATCATACGGAGCCAGTACAGGGGGTCCGAAGTATCGGAGGAGACAATGCCGTAAAGAGGCATCTGACTCATGACCAAGAAGATCATCAAAGTCAACTATAACGTAATTCATTAGGATCCAAGTCGATTTCGCGCGGAGAGGGCGGATTCAGGGCGACATACACCAGTCCACATCAACTTCTGGTTGAAGGGCACCTTAGTCTCAGGAGCTGCCACCTCCGGGAGGAGGGGCGTAAAGGGCTTGATCAAGTCAAGGAAGCGTACTATATTCCTCCATCAGCATTTGGCCTTCAATTGAGGGCGATTCGAGACGGATTGTCGGGATTGCGCGACGAGGTTTCGGGGGACTCACGGCCGCTCATGGTGGCTATCTTCCTCCCAGTCCGTTAAAGAAGTGAAGAAAGCTGGAGTCGAAAACCAGCTTAAGGAATGAAAGTGAATATTAAGAGAAATAAAACAAAAGGAGAAAAGGTGAAGTTGTCGAAAGGATGGGGGAGGAGGGAAGAAGAGGACAGAAGAGGTCCGCTGGCCACTTTTCGCTTCCGCGCTAATTAAGGCCACTTGGTCTTCGCCGCAACAACCAACTTGGTGACTCAACCAAAAAAAGGAACGGGGTGATTTGGAGATAATTGCACTACTTTGAGCTTCAATTCAATTCTCAATGCATTTCTCTTCTGCTAGTCTTTCAAGTCCGTTGTGTTGTGCACCCTCCAAAAACAGGGCTCCAAGCTATCCCCACACTCCACAGAGGCCACGGTACTAACTACGCGATCGGGACAGCTGGGGGTCTACACCCTATGGTGCAAGATATGGGGGTAATTATTGGGAATCATAATAGCATACATGTCCAAATACATATTCCAACTGCTTTCATCCTATAAACATATGCCATCATTCTATAAAGAGTATAATATTGTCATCTTTCAAGGCCCAACAAGACCCAGGCAATCATCAATGATCACCTCGAGCTCTCCCAGTCGATTCTTTAGGCCGCGGTTCTCCTCTTGCAGAACACCCATCACGCTCCAGGCCTCGGAAGCGGGCACGCCATAGCAGTTGGTGCAATTAGGCGCGTTACTGTTACCACCAGCGAAGGAGCTACCTAAACGCGTTGAGGCAAGACCCTTCAAGACCCGATCATATGCCGAGCGTACAGGTGGTGGTGTACTCGTGGCCGCGACTAGATTCTTCTGTGCTGGCGTCGAGACCGTCGGCGTAGACAGGGCGATCTGCGACATGTTGGGAGACGGCGCTGTCAGAGCGGAGGTCGGAGATTCGACGCCCTCACGCAGCGAGAAGATGCTTTCGGCGATGCTCTCGTCACCAGACTCGAAGCCCGAGTCGCTGGTGAAGGTGCTATGGCTAGCACGCTTGCCTCCACGCCGGGGAGTTTGGAGCGCCATGGAAGCTGCGTCGTCATCCGGATACACAGTACGAATTGCACGACTGCGATGGCGCGATTCCTCGGTCTTTCGCATTTCTCTCTCTTCCTCTAGTTCCTCGGCCATGGCCTTCATGGCTTTCTCCTGATCGAGCACTTTGGCAGCCATGCCGTCCAGCTGCATCTTGAGGTGGTCAACTCTGGCGCGAGTCTCTTCTAGCTCCTCCTGCTTTTCGTTCTTGTCTGCCAAAGCCTGGTGCATGGCAAAAGTGCGTTGCTTATAGGCCTCCTGCATACGTCGTAGCACTTTGTCCGCATGATCTCGTAGGGAATCCAGTGCCTCATCGTTGGTATCATCCGTTTCGGGTAGTCTGAGAGCGGCAGTGATGTCCAAGTTCAAGAACTCATCATCTGCTGGCTCTGGGAAATTGGGTTTGCTCGGTTGTCGCCGCAGGCCGAAGAATGAAAACCGATTCGTCGAGGTCGAGTTCTGCCTCATATGTGACATGGATGCAGCTGGGCGGGAATCCAATCCGGTCCCATCTGAAGCACCTGGGCCCATCTTAAGCCCCAACTCGACTGGATCTGATTTCCCCTGGAACCAATCTGACAAGACCCTGGCTCTTGCTTCAAGCTTCTTCTTCGGAAAGGTTTCGGACCAAGGGGGATTCTTTGGGTTTGATAACGTGCCGTCGATGCCCTGTTCGAACAGTGGAGGCCTTGCGATATATTCGGTGTTTGCTCGACGATGCGAAGGCGGATTGTTCAACTGATGATTTCGTGCGGTTCTAGGGACCGAAGATCTTGGGAGCGTCAAGGCAACGGTTTCGTGGGGGTGCGTGCCATCGGAATGCAGGGTGACAGGCGCATGAGTGAGATCGGGAGACATGTTCTGAGGGGTAATTTCGACAGATACACGGACAGGACTGAAATGCCACGTCGATTCAGGCCCAATGTGGCGTTGGTGTGCGACCTAGGGGGGAGGGGTTTGCGGTAGGGGTATCAATGCTGATCAAGGACAAAACAGACCCCTGGAATACATTCAAGGTCAAACGAAAAAGGGTATAGGTGGTTTCAATGAAGCTTTCATGTTTCACAGGGTTGAGTGTGGATTTGTCTAGTGAAACCAAGAAGACGCCTCAAGAGTTGGAAACAAGAAGACAAGAGGCTGGGACGATGAAATAGCGGTGGCTGGTCTGGAGCTCTCTCCACCTTCGTGATCCACCACGTCTTCCTTTCCAATCTGATTAATCAGAGCAATGAGGGTTGCCTTCCACTAGACTTATTTCGAGTTCGATCCCGTCATCTATTTTTGCCGCTCCCGCTGTGCATGCTTTCAGCTGCACGAGGACCTGCGTCATTGCACGTTTCTGCAAAATCCTAGCGTCATGGCTCCCAACGGTTTGAAGCATTTATCCAACGCCCTGGCGACGCCCGATCAACTGTCCAACTCTTCGTCCTCGATCGACAATGTCCCATCTGACCTCGAAACCTCTATTCGGTGCGCGGGCGCCCAGCTAACTCAAGCCGCTGGGGTGCTCCTACACCTGTCGCAAGATATAATTGCCCAGGCGGTCGTGATCTTCACGCGTTTTTGGCTTGGCGCTGATGGGGGTAGCTTGCGAATCTACTCAGTCAAGGTAGGACCAGCTCCAGGCATCCATAGCAATTCTGATCCACTGACCGGAGCAGGATGTGTCCGCCGCAGCCTTGTACCTGACAGCTAAGCTTTCTTTCCAACCAACTTCGCCACGCTCCGTCCTCAGCGTCTACACATTCCTCCTATCGCAAGACGCGTCACCCTTGTGGTTTGTGAAACAGAGCGGAGCTCCGGAGACCCCTCCATCCCCCGAAACCTATATCCTGTCCGAGGGAGGCTACCAGTCCGCGCGGCTAGTCCTCCTCCGCACCGAAACGAGTATCCTCCGTACTCTCGGCTTTGATACACATGTTGCTCTACCACACACCATCGCTTTGACCTATCTTCAAACTTTGGGTGTGGTAAAGCCCGCTGTGGCTCGACGGGTCATCCAGCACCTTAATGCGGCGTTGCTCTCGCCCCAGCTTCTTTATGTCACCCACCAACCAAATGCCCTGGCTGTGGCTGCCATCTACCTCGCTTCGCGGGAGGAGGAGGTCAAGCTTGTGGACGGCGAGTGGTGGGAAGTCTTTGATGTCGATCGCGAAGAGCTCGGCTTTTTGGTTGTAGGTATGAAGAGTACAGAAGGCTTCATGCGAGCGGAGGTCATTCGGTGGAAGAACAAAGCTATTCCAATGGTAGTAGATGAAGTGGATGCCGAAATTGAGCGACGCCGAATGATGGAGGAGGGTGAATGAAAGTGCTTTGATTTGCCGAGAACATCATATTCCAAGATCAAAAGTCTACTATGAAAGATGTTCTGGTAGAAGCTAGCAAGCCATCTACTAGAACATTCACCACAGGATGGCGCCTCACAGTCAAAAAAGGCTTGCGATATCCTGCTCCGCGCCCAGAAGGAATCCAAGCAACAACACCCAACACTAAACGGCCTTGTCTCTGCGGTGGCCAAACAGGCGGTTGGAAAATTAGCTGCTTCCACGGCTTAGTCGATTGCCAGGGAGCTCTGTTGCTGTCAAGCTGAACCTATATGTTATATACATCTTCTCTTGTGGCCGTAACAATCAAAGTAGATGTATGAATAATATTTCAGAACTCAGCTGACAAGATAGCTAGATAAATTGCTGATCATAACTGAACGACATAGATGCTTCCATCCTACTCCATCTGCTCCGCTCGAGAAACACCGTCAACAGCTTGGTGATGTTGTCCTCCAATCGGCGCTCCACATTCAGGACATTTCGCTAGCTCCATCGGCATACCACATTCGCCGATGGCAAACTTAAGAAAAACAGAAAATGTTAGCTTGATATCTCAATAGAAGGAAGACGTTGAATATTTGGCAAATCAAACTCACAGGATGTCCGTTGATACAATTGTACCAGTGCCCAGAGTTCGTCGCCAGGCCTCCTCGCCCGCCAACCATGGCAATCTTGATGGATGCAAGTTCCTCTGGCGTGACCTCTTCGTATTGAGCGCCTTCGAATAGGCGAATCATCTCCAGGACTTTCTCTCGAAGCTCCTCACAATTACCCAACTGATCGCATAGATGCAAAGCATCGGCAAGGAACTCACGTGCCGTATTCCTGCGGTTCTCATGAGATTCTAACCCGGTGCCCTCCCGTACTTTTTCATCGGGTTTTTCCTTTCCGGGTACTGGGTGAGTGCGACGGCACCATCCGAACAGTTCGGATATCTTAGCAAATGCGAGGGTTGCCGTGATGACAATACGGAAGAGGCTCGCGCCCTTGGCTTGAATGATCAAGTTCTGGCAGTCTTTCAGAAACGGTATGGTGATCTGGCTGAGCTGAACAATCAAAAATGCCTCCTCAATCTTTGCCTTCGAATTCAAAAGTCTGGACATATCGTGAAGAACGAATTCTCGGGCATTGATAGAGATTAATCGTGCCCCAAGAGTTATCTGGTTGTCAGGTGTTGGTGTGGATATTCTCAGTCTTTCAAGTTGACTGGAAATAGAGACAGATTCGTCTTCTGATTTCTGGCCCAAAGCAATAGCATCCTTGAGCAGCTTCGTCGGTTGATGCTCTGTATCCATCGTTTTACTAAGGACCACAGCTTCCTTTGCAACTTTGTAAAAGGCATAATATCTTGCGCCGATCTGTCCTTTGGTAAGGCAGCTCGGGCTCACCTTCGCATCTTTAGCAACAAGCGCGTCTGCGAGGGAATTCAAACGAGAATCAAGGGCTTCAAGGTCCATGCGTCCTTTGGTCAAGAACCGCTTGCATGTTTCGTCCATAGCAGCTCGATTGATGACACGATTGTATCGCTTTGTTACGAACTGACGAATGGGCTGTTTGCAATCAGGACACGATGGTATGGTGCTAGCAAGAGCAGCAGAGATATCCCGGAGGCCGTCGAACTTGCCAGATCCATCTCTTGTGTAGACATCATCTAGGCCGACTACACCATCGACCGACTCACTGGTAAAGAAATGACCGCACCCGAGCACGACAATTAGAGTCTCATCGAGGTTGATTTCAGAATAAGATTTCCATTCAAGAAAATCAACACGCGCGTCTGGCTTGTCGCCGCATTCTTGGCATAGACCACTTGGGCAGTCCTCTCCGCAAAGGCTCGGGCACTAATGACCACAGTCGAGAATTTCGGTGCAGCGCTCATCACACGGAAGTCGATCGCATAGTGCTGCACAAGGCATTGAACAGGATCCTTAATAAGGATAGACCCAAGTGCATCTCTCGATGCACAGTGTACATGCCTTTCCGCAGGGGGAGTCACAGGCTGAGTATGAGCATCGAACCTTTTTTTGGTATTAGCATGATACACGAATAGTCGGCTGCATAAGCAGAAATCTAGTCTCACCTCGCACTTGGCTTCACAATTCCCACACTTTTCACTAATATGGCATACCTTGAGGCATCTGTGATTGCAGACGCCATGTGGCCGATCGCATTTTTTCATACATTTTGGATGATCAAACGACACTTCGCCGTTTTCGCCTCTCTCCAAGCACCCCCCACAGACACCTCCACAGTTGTGACCATATCCCAGGATCTTGGTACATGGCTCAGTGCATCTGAAAATCTCGGACGTGACATCAACAAAGCAGGCGAGTCGGAGAACATGGCCACACTTATTAACAGTCTTTTCAGTTTTGACATAGCACTTAATGGATTCCAAGTTGCGCATCTGGTGGCACATAAGCGTCTAGGCATGGCCACAAGGAAGCATCATATCGGGAATTTTAACCATGCAGGGACCACACTTTATACCACAGAGCTTAGGGCATGCATGGTCACAGGTCTCTCGAATTCGAGGACAAGGCTTACAGCATACAAAACCGTTATATATGAAAGATAAATAGCATTTTGCCTGGCATTAGTGGCCACATAGCTCCAGACAATAGGTACATGGAAGATTACACCCACCTTCAGGGCTCTTTCTCTCAAATTCTTAAGGCTCAGAACAGAGGATAGGTACTTCTGGGTGGCGGGGGCAGCATAGGGCTAGTTCTGTGCCGACTACGTTCGTTTACACAAGCTGAGCGTGAACTTCAGCCCACATCGGGACATTAAGGTAGGTCTCAGAATTTCCGATCAGGTACATCCCGTGCTGTGCTCGACTGAGAAGCACATTGATACAGTTCTCGGTACGTAGAAAGCCAACTTGGCATTTCATATTACTCCGAACTAGGGAGACAACGATCACCTTTGCCTCTTCGCCTTAGAAGTTATCAATAGTAGCAAGGCGGAGCGTCTGAAGAAGCGTTTTCCTCTCGATGATTTTGTGAGATCCTGCTTAGGGAGACTCATCTGTATCCACTCCGAGCCCTTTAGCTGCTAAGGTCTCTAAATCCCGCTCGCTGAGATAGATCTCGAAATCTTTGCTGAGCGATGCCCTAAGCTTTCGCAGTTAACCAGTATAGGGAGTCAGCAATACAATATCCTTACTGCTGTACTCTCCCTATCGGACAAGATGGCGCACAAGAGCGGTCGCCATATCAACCTCCCACTGATTGCTGTGCGACTTCACACAAATACTGTCTCCTCGTGTATCTTCATCGTATTAATGATCTAACCAGAAGACGTTCTCACGCATTCCAACGACATTAGGTAGATTCATCACACTCTCGTGATCTTGCAGCTTTAGATAGACTCTTCTAATAAGCTGCGAAATCTCAGGTCTCATTCTTCGCTGTATATTAAGTCGTGCAACAGGCGCAGGATTCAGGCCTAGCTCGCCGACGGCACGCCTCTCAAATTGGCTGCGGTCCAACTGCCAGGCTTTTCCTGATAATAACTCAAGGCTAAGCGAGTAGTTTTAAATTTAAGGCCATAGCTGTCGATGATCGCCAATCTAGATAAAGTATTCTACGCCCGGCATGAGGGAGGAGATGATATGGGCCTCCATCACCTCGGCTACCTCCTCACAAATAATGACTTTTACACCTATGCGGCGTAATGTATCGATGTTTCGCGCGAGGGATGTTATCGTGATACCTACAACATCGGCTTAAATCAGGGCTCTTCGGTTGATTTCTTCGTGGACAGCGTGTATTTCTCCACGCAAATCCTCAGCGCTCTTAACTGCTTCGAATAGTGAAGTACTCTCGTTTTCACACCATTACTCAAACCAGCTCATTACAAGAATTTGGCGCTCTAACTTTAAGAGATCATAGATATTTCGCTCGGCAATTCGTGTCAGGTTCTCGAAGAGCTCATCAGCAGCCTCATTCAGATCCTCGGTTTTCGAGCAATTCATCAATTTGACTTCCAGCCAGTTTAATAGAGGATCGTCAATGATCGTTTCGAATCCCTCCTCATCTATCAGATTCAACTGTCTGTGTATCATGGGCCACTTAAGGCGCAAAAAGTTCTGCATTCCTTTCCAGGTTGGGCCCTTTCGAGACTGATGTAGAGGTTTCATTGAATATCCGGCGATTTTCATACATTCCTCCAGCTCACTGTAAGTTTTGCCGAGGGTCTGTGACTCTACTCTTGTCTTGCTGATGTTGCTGCTAACATCACGAAGATTCTTGCCTTCGAGCTCAGCAGCCTGACTGCGGCTGCCAATACGTATGACCTTCTGGATATCGACAGCAAGAATATGCTTCAAGAATTGGTCCAAGGCATGATTGGTGTAACACCTACAGTAAAGTTAGCCATATAGTATAGGTCGAAGTTGTGTAAAACAATACTTACATCACGATAATTGGACCCAGATTTGCGCTTACTTTGATAGCAAGAAGGACCTGAACAATCTTGACCCCAACATGGGACTTTCCCGTGCCCGGCGGGCCTTGAATCATGGCATATTCTCGTGTGAGGGCAGCAACAAGTCCCTGACACTGGCCAATATCGAGACCAGTCAAAGCTTCCAGCTCTTTGATATTAAGGGAATCTGGGGAAATGGGGTCTAGTTTGATATCTTAAGTTCGGTCTTTGGTGATTGGAAGGAATGGAAATGCAAATCCCGGTTTTCGGGCGTATGCAGGTGAAGGTATATTGATACCTCTTTCATCCCCGTCCCGGCCTAGCAAAATCCATTTTTGGAATGCCAACTCCCCCTCGCGCTAAACACGCTGCAGATTTCTCAGGATCGGGGCAAATGTTGCAGGAATGAGGCCGGGGAAGCCGACCAGGGTGCCTGTGATTTTCCTGCTATAGATCTGGCTGAGGAGATTCAGTTCTTGCTGCAAACATACGGCGAGCTTCACTGTGATGCTAGGGGGATATCGATCGGAGACAAGGGTGCTTTTTTCCTTGTCGTTTTTCTCTTGGGAGGAACACTTGGCCGTCACTTCCAGAAAGAGCAACCTTTGTTAGGTTCCTTCAGAAGTCAAGAAGCACACCAGACTCCCTTCTTCCAGTCGGTTGGAATCTTTCCACCATCTGCATTGCTCTGCAGGAGACTTTTTGCGCAGTTGCGGCGGGGCAGAGAAGGATACTGTCGCTTCAAGCTCATTTTTTCCATTAACGAAGACATGCTGAACATTTGATACCGTGTAGATATGCGCCCTTGTGTCCTTGTCCGATAGGTGGGGGTTGGGACAGTCTTGTTGCAGTAGATCTCGAAGCACATCTTTGACAGAACCGAAGATGTCATGGCGCAGAAGTCGGAATGTGGAGTCCACGTATCGTAGCATAGGATCCGCGATGAAGTGCGGCTGAGAAAAATTGGTGGATGGTAGATATTCCGAGTTGTCACTAACAATTTCTCCTTGTGTCGGAAGAATCCGAATCTGCGAGATTTCTGCAAGGTCATTGTCGTGTCTGCCACCAGGGATTTCCATATCCATTGGAAACGTCGATTGAGCTAGCCTAGCCCCGGTCCTGTGGATGGTCTCTTCGGGTACTGGTACTATGGCTGGAACAAGACTGCGGTGTGCGCTTGCGACCACATTTCGCATGACTTCTATTCTGTTTTCAAGCGCCTCGAGGTCAGCCTTGGAGCATACTTCGGTCATTTTGTGGACCAATTCGTCCAATGACCCGAGAAGTGAAGGGAGGTCATCATGGAGGTGTGCCCGTCGGACCCTGCGCAGAAGCTGATACAGGGAATTCAACAACAACTTCACCATTTCTGGAGTGACAAGAGTCCAATCATTGCCATTTCGCTCACAGCTGTTTATCATGAAACGACAAACGCTTTCCAAAAACCCGATTGCTCGATCTCCATTCGGGCCGCCGAAGGTTGCGTACATGGTACCAACAAATGAATCAACGGAGAGACAATCCAAGAGGGAAGGATGGGTAATGACTTTGAGAAATGGCTCAACATAGACAGGAATACGGCGACTCCAATCTTGGCCGGTGGTATCAATAGTTGCCAGGATGAACCCGTGTCCATCAAGGGCATCATCCACGAGGTCTCTGACAAGGAGCTGCTGGTCCCCTGTATTTCCACTATCAAGTATCTCAACCGCTCCTTCCCACAGTCGAAGGATCTCTTCTTGTCCTCCCCGGGATCTGACACCGATGGAATTCGTTCTCAGGATCTTTTTCCAGTCAAAGTATCGTTTCCGGGTGCTCGAATCATCAGTCGTAGGATTAGGTTCAGATCCGCTAGCTCTTGTCAGGTCGTGAGAGAACTTGCAAGTAGAGCCGTAAGTGCAATTTCCACGCTGGAATTGCCGGCAGATTTTGTCGCTTTGATGACGGGTCCCGAAGTTATTCGACCCGCCTCGCTTGCTGGTATGGCCTTCGCCTCGGAATCGCCAGTTTCCACGGTCAGCCATGATCGTAAAGGAGGTAATCTGAGTGAGTAGGGAAAAAGAGGACAGTAATTTTCTAGAGAAGTAAGTTGCTGGCACCTAATTATATGGTATGGGGTATAGCAAATAGCCTGTATTTGCGAAGAGCAAACGCCGATATGCATCGTCCCCAGAATAATGTATCTTGTTTCCGGATGGCGAAGCAATCACGCTCGTTCCCGGCCTTAACCTCATGTATGCAGACAAGGTACTGATTCTTGCACCGCTATCCAGGCGATCTATCCTCATGTCCATACAATCTCCGCATCGTGGCCCTTTAATCCACGAGACCTGCCTCAATCTCGCTACCAACTCCCTCTTATTCTCGTGCTTACATTCACCTTCTTCTACATTTCCGAGACCTGTGGAGGAGAAAGGTACATTCTGCAACCCCTATTCTAGCGTAGACCGAATTTTCCATGGAAGGTTTGCTAGGTCAAGTGACTAGAAACGGAAATGAATCAGAAGATATATATACTCTGTATCGCTCGTCACGTTAACAGGGCCTCCGGAAAGCGATAGTCTTACATAAGCAGATATCATCACGTGCCACCATATCGGCTCAAAATGACGCTCACGCGGGGCGGATCATGTGCTCCACCGCTTATCATTTACCCCCGCCGCTTCTTCTGTATCTCTTTCTTCACCCTCACCTGTAAAACACAATGAATATCCTGCACTCTACATTGTCAACTTGGCGGGACCGCCTGGCCCCGGTATCGCGCACTTCTACCTTCCGTAACACCGGCCAAATCACTCCCGAGGAGTTTGTTCTCGCCGGAGATTATCTAGTCTACAAGTTCCCCACATGGTCATGGGCCGACGCATCGAGTCCGGCAAAACGAGTCTCCTACCTCCCAGATGGCAAGCAGTTTCTGGTTACTCGTGGAGTACCATGCCATCGGAGACTGAACGACAACTTTGCCGGGGATGCAGGACTCGAGGATGAGATTGTGAGGGATTTCCTATCTGGCGGTGACGGCGAAGGCACACCGGATAATGGAGAGGATGGATGGTTGCGGACTGGCGGTGGGCGTGATGCTGGGGCAGATCATGATAAGCAAGAAGCTCGGATCCGCGACGTGCGAACCGTCGATGAATCCGGGAATCTGGGCGAGCAGGAGGAGGAGGATGATATCCCCGATATGGAGGATGATGACGATGACGATGAAGCTATCATCCGAGAGACCGACAATCATTCAGGGACACAGTGAGTGCCATTTTCCTATCTGCAACATCACCTTTCTCTTTTCTAACCGTGACTTGTTATCGCTCCAGATCTCTCCGCACGTACACCCTTTACATTACATACTCAAACTTCTACCGCACACCCCGCCTCTACCTGTCCGGCTATTTGTCGCCATCCGAACCGCTTCCGCCACATCTGATGATGGAGGATATTGTCGGCGACTACAAAGACAAGACCGTGACGCTAGAGGACTTCCCATGGTTCGAGGGCAGCGTCAAGATGGCCAGTGTACACCCATGCCGCCACGCCTCTGTGATGAAGACACTCTTGGATCGTGCCGATGCCGCACTCAAGCTTCGCCGTGACAAGCTCAAACAGACGCAGTCGCGCGAGGAAGCGAACCGCGTTCTCCGGGCAGGCGGCGGGCTGGAGGGCTTGGTGGATGAGACCAACAACCTGTCGCTCGGGGACTCCAACAACGGACATCCTGGCGGGGATGAGTGGGAGATGCTGCAACATGACGAGGAAGAACAGGTCGCGATCCGGGTAGACCAGTACCTGGTTGTGTTCCTCAAGTTCATTGCCAGTGTGACGCCGGGCATTGAGCACGACTTTACGATGGGGGTATAATTTCTTTGAATTGATCCAGACTCGTCTTATCCGATCTTTCCCACGCACACCTATATTTCTGAGCTAATTGGATTGGATAATGGCTGGGATCTGGCGACCTGCCCCCTTTCGAAATTTGATATGCATGATCTTACATGAGTTTGGCGTTAATCTGCTTCTAGGCGCATGGTTAATATCCTTTTCCCCATCCTTGGGTTGCTTTTGCTGTGTATTATGTTTGGTAGCTTGGGATGGGATTCCCATTGCAATTTTACTACAATTTGTGAAGATACCAGAGTAGACATATCGTGTTTGAAATCATATAATAATCCCTAGCATTCCCGAAGTAGGACCACGGGGAATCAAAGGCTGAGCTCGGGATGAACAGGGAGATCCATGCATTATATCCCACCCATAGATGTATGTAATGTGACTGTGACTACCCTCAAATTTGGGCATATTTCCAGCTCTTTGCAATTCTATCAAATCAAAATCGCAATAATCATGCCCTGGCTTGTAGACTGCTTCAATGAGCATCAAAACGAATGATGTATCCAGGCTCTGGCTGTCCTAGAGGTAAAAAAAGGCAAGAGCGACCTTGAGGGTCAGTGTCCCATTTGGGAAGGTACGTGTTCCTGGGAGTATAAAAGGGCCCCTCCCCCCATTTTTCCTCTTCTCTTCTTCTTCTCCTCTCCCCATCCTTCTGAACACCATCTCACCGTAGCCCCCACGAGACAGCGCAGGCAGAGGGTCCCGTAGCACATGCTGCTTGACCTACCACAGGGACCATAACATTACCATGTTTGTTATGAGGTTCATGTGGGTCTGCACCACACATCAAACCGGGCTTTCTCGTGGATGTTCCTGAAGTCGTGGCTCTCATTGCCATTTGACGAGTCCCACGGAATACATGAGGGGTGTAAATCTCCGTAGCCGACGACGCGTAGGTTCGAGTCATCGTACACTAGTCACCTAGGTACAAGGCAAATGATTACCTTATCGGTGCTTACACTGCTAAGACCCAGATAGATTGCCTAGGACATCTCATGTGTTGAAATTAATGCCTGGCTATCCAACTGCTCGTTTTTTGCCCACAGCTCACGACCCATTTTTGGATACATTAGGGTATCCCGAGCTGGAAACACTATAAAGCATTGGGATGTATACGAATCGAATGACACATTCATAGGCAAAGTCCCATAAGATTGTGCATTCGAAGTGATGCTAGTAGATGTGAAATATATAATGCAGAGGGAGATTCAGGTTTGAATCTGTCATGCTCTGCAGGAGTCTCCTATTCGAGTTATGAGATATATATCTCACATATTGATAGCATCTTCAGATATCATATGCTGCTTACTCTACTTATACGGAAACTCTACAAAGTCCAGAGCTGCCTAATCGATGTCCAATGCAATTTATATTATAGCTTTCTCGTTTTTGTTACCAGGCTTTTCAGGTGGTCCATTTATGGAGACTGATGAGGTCTCGGGACACTCACTACATTTAGGTAATCTTCCGAGCATATATTCAGGCGAAATTAGAGAATCCGAAATCTACTACTACATGGAAACCGGTAGTGTATCATCAGAGTAATATATTCTAAGTGATAATAACAATATCAAAAGCTGCATTAACAAGTAACAGCGAACCATAAGAACGCCGAATAGTGCAAAGCACTACCAGACGCCCAAAGTGAACAACCATCAGCAGCAGTAATACACAAGATCCAAAAAAGAGTAAGTAATAAAGATCGGCCCTCACAAACGAGCACAGAAGATACAAATAATCCGTGGGTGAGTACACCAGCCGACGAAGACAAATTATAAAAAGAAAAGAAAAACAGGAAGAATACAGCCGTGAAAAACAAGAAATGCATGCAAAGGTCCGATCAATCATTAGATAGACCAACCACATCGTTAACAGATGGATGGATGGTATCTATCCGGGTCGTTTCCGCCATTTTTTATCGTGTTCGTCTGATGAAGCAGGAGCTTAGTTGAAGAAAGCCAGGATAACGGGGAGAGCGAGTGCGAGGACGGATCCGGGGACCAGAGATGAGCCGGCGTTGAAGACGGGCGCGACGGGTGCGGAAGGCACAGCGGAAGGTGAGGTTGATGCGGTGGGTGCCGCGGGGTGGATCAGAGGGATGGAGACGGAGGGTGCCCAGGTAGCCGGAGCGGTAGTGAGAGGAGCGTAGATGGGGGTGGTGAAGGTGGGAGGGAGGATAGTGGGGACGTCAGACCAGGTAGGAGGGTTGGTCTGAGCAGGGGGAGTGACAGTCTCGGTGGGAGTGGTGGTAGTAGTGGTGGGCACGACAACAGCAGGGGTGGTCCAAGTGGTGGTGGGCACAACGACAACGGCGGGAGGAGTGGTAGTGGTTGTGGGAACAACGACGATGGCAGGAGCAGTAGTAGTAGGGACGACGACAACGGGAGGCTCAGGGCAAGGGTAGCCGCCCTGGTGGTCGTGCACGCCATTGCCGACGTTAACGCTAGGACCGCCGGGGATACCGACATTAACACCGGCACCGGCGCTGTAGTCATCGCCTGAGCCAGGGCCGCAGGGGCCGCGGTGGATGTCCTGGAATCCGGCACCGGCGTTCACAGAGGGACCGCCGGGGATGCCGACTTTGACGCCGCTGCCAGCCGAAGTCTCGCTGTTGTCTGGGCCCTGGTGGGTGGTCTCAGGGCCGTGGTTGACGATCTCGGGGAATGGGGCAGCTCCGAGAGCGGGCAGCTGAGGAGCAGAGAGGACGGTGGCAGGGCCGAGAGCAAGGACGAGGCACATGAGGCCGGAGAAGTTGATAGTAGTGGAGACCATTGTTGCGGTAGGATTTTTGTGCTGTTGGTTTGGAAGAGGAAGTAGTTGATTAAAGGCGAGAACTGAAAGTTGATGAAAGAGAGTTGCGAAAGAGAGATGAGGGAATGACTGTTTAGAGACTGTGATGCTTGATGAAGAACAGAAGAGGAGGCGTGAACAATGATCCTTATGTACTTTTCGGCATCCATACAAAGTGTACACTTGAACAGTATGGTAATGAGAGCCAAGGCTATCCAGGACCAGATGGAAGATCGCTGCAAGGCACGAACTTCCTTGGCCCTAATCTTAGAAAAGCCACAAGGTCGGTGATCTGCAAGGCACAAAGTCAACGGCAGCTACCAAGACAAGAGATCGTGAGAGACAT